AGTCCCCCAAAGCCTTGCTGCTTTGCTAGGCAGGCGTCTGCCTGGGATGGAGTTGGACTAGCGCATCCTGTGTCTGTGCAGGGGTTGGACTAGATGATGTCTGGAGGTCCCTTCCAGCCCGACTTCTCTATGATGTTACAATTTAGGGTGGAGGTATCTGACCTACAGCCATTGGGCTGGGCCCGTGTCATTGGTAGAGGGGCCTGAAATTTGGGGGCCAGCACAGAAACCCAGGGTGCAGAGCCCCCCTGGGGACATGTGTCGGCAGCCGAGGGGAATGAGCTCCACGGACGTGTCCTGACGACACTCACCCTAGGCTGCCACTGAGTCCAGATCCAGCCAGCGAGGGGCCCTGTGGTCTGGATCCGGCCCAGGATTCAGCCCAAACGAGCGTGACGTCCCTGATTCAAAGCCTGGTGAAATCCTGGAGGGATGAGTCCGGCGGATCAGCACCGCGGCTGCCACCGCTTTGCTGTCCTCTCCAGTGGCATCTTTCTCAGGCCGCAAGTATCAGCCTGCCCTCCTCTTCCCATCTCTCTCCGCTCCCTGGGCACTTCCCGAAACATCCACCCCCCCGAACAAAGCTCCGCGGCCCATGCCAGAGACGGCCTGATCTACAAACTGAATGCGTGCCTGAGGCATTTATAAAGCGCCTGGGACGGCAAGGTCTGGGAGGCAGAGAAAAGATGAACGAAGCCCCGTTAGCTTCTTAACGGACCTGTCAGGGCTTAAGTAATGAATAAAGCAGGAGATAGGGATTAATAAACTGCAAAGTAGCCACAGAGGCCTGCATACGGACGGACGGAGACAGGCCTCGAAGGGCTCCTACGTGCCATGTTGTGGGCAACCATCCTTCCCCTTGTCCCTCCACCTACGGCTGGGTAGCAGCATCTTCCCTGATGCCACCCATCCTTCCCCATCTTCCTCCAGGCTCCCTGCCTCTTGCTGCCTCTCACCACGCTTCCCCACTCCTGCTTTCCTCATTGAGAGTCTCGGCAATACCGAACCGGGAACAATTCTCCTTAAGAGTGATTTTTAATCCTGGGAGATAGGAGGGCGTACCGACGAGATGAGGCAGCTCGTTACCCATGCAAGCCGGATCGCAAATGTCTCCGCTGTTGTTCCCACAAGAAATCAATTCAACGGTATCGCACTCCCAGCTCACTCCAGATAGCAAGGCAGAGGGAGGGGTGGTGCGGCTGAATGTCTCACTTAAAGTAGCTGAGAACAGGGGAAGGCAATATCTTTCTGGCAGTCGCGATAAAGCCCAAAAATGAATAATAAGACAGCATTAAAGTTTGACCACTGAGCAAAACAACCCCGGGACAGCTGGCCTCCTGGGGAGGGTTTTTTTTTTCCTTCCATGCATCTGTTTTAATTGTAAATTAAATGCCTGATGCGTCCGCCCTGTTATCATCACGCTGAGCTTTTAACGCTGCTGGAACCAAAGGCCGAATTAGCTGAAGCCGCGATTTGTGGTGGAGATGAAATAAAACCCCTTTTTTGAATTTGTTCTCCACCAGAAGAGCCGGTTCATGCCTGGAGCACCATAGGTGAAATCCTGGTTCAGGTTAAGACAGAACGGAGGATGGAGGATTTTGTGGGGTCAGGCTGCTCTCGGCTCTTGGTGGCTGGAAGGGAGTGGGTCACGGTCCTGCAGCTTGCACGGGGCTGCCCTGCCTGAGCGGAGGTTTGAAAGGGGGCGTCTCGCTCTGGAAAAAGCACCTGATCTTGGTTTAAACGTTGCCCACCATGGAGCATCCCTGCAAAGTCTGCTACAAATCTGCCCCTTGTTTGGAGTGTGACTGGATCCAACCTCCGCTCCCAGCCACTGGGTCTTGGTACCTCTGTGCGGTGCTCAAACTGTGTGCGCTGCGGACTGCCTGGCCCTTCCACACTGGCGGTGGGCTCTATCCAGTGTATGGGAGGGGTACATCGGGGCCTGATCTGGCCACGCAGGGGGTAGCGGGCAAGGCCTGGCTCTGATCCTGCCCCACTAGACAGGGAGCTTGACCTGGACCTGGTCCAGCCTTGGGGTTAAGCAATTTGGCAGCCAGGAGGGATGGCAGTATTACATCCCACTGCTGCTCTGCTGCAAGCCATATGAGGAGAGGCTGACAGATATGGGACTGTTCAGCCTAGAAAAGTGAAGACTTTGGGGGGTTTTGGTGGCAGCTTACACATATATCAGGGGAGCACATCGGAGGCTAGGCGAACAACTATTCCCCAAAGCAGCGCAGGGGAAAACCAGGAGCAAGAGTCATAAACTCCTAGAAGAAGGTTTCAGGTTGGATATAGGGAAAAACTTTTTCACGGTTTGCATGACCAGACTCTGGAATCGACTCCGCGCGGGGTGGTGCAGGCACCTACCTGGAGATGTTCAAAAGGAGACTGGGCACACACCGTGCTGGCGTGATTTGACCCCTGCAATCTTTCCTGCCCAGAGCAGGGGGGCTGGACCCAAGGATCTCACGAGGTCCCTTCCAGCCCTAAATGTCTGTGAATTTGTGAATCCATGAGTCACATAGTCCAGATGCCACGGCTCCGTGGGCCAGATTTGGCCCAGGGCTGGGGGTGAGCACCCATATGCTAGATGGACAGAAGAGCCCATGATCTCACCTGGATCCTCTTGGTAGATACCTCAACTGTGATTGAGTTTCTTTTAACCTTCTCTGTGCCCGTGTTTGACAGAGGTGTGTCTAACAGCTGCCCTTCGTTTGGGTTCAACATATGAAGTCAGGAAGATTTTGAACTAAAACCCAGGCTCAGGATAACACCCAAAGCAAAGGCAGATGGGAGCCTCCTCTGACCTCTGTGCCAGGATGGCAGACAGCTTTGGTTGAGTGGGGCGGAGGGAGAAAGAGAGGCAGCTCAGAAAGAGCCAGAAATGAAACTACAAGTTTTTCGAAGTCCCAGTCGCACAACCCAGCAGCACAACGGGCATTTAAGTGGCAGATAATATAGGTAAGTGTCCAGTGCTGCACCTGGCCCACACACTGCCTGCGCTCTGATGGGCGCCACCCATGCAGGAAAGAGATCTGGGAGTCACCGGGGACAGTTCTTACATCAGCTCCATGCTCAGCAGCCATTAACAAGGCAAACACCATTTTTGGGATGATTAGAGAAGGGACTTGTGATCCTAGCAGAAAGTATCATGATGCCCCTTTCTAAATGCATGGTGCATCCCTACCTTGAATACTGCACCCACGTCTGGTCCCCAGATCTCAAAAAGGATGTAGAAGAAGTAGAGAAGGTGCAGAGAAGGGCGACAAGGATGATCAGTGGCACGGGGGGGTGTCCATAGGAGGAGAGACGAACAGCACCAGGCTTATTCCAGTTAGAAAAGTGGCGCTTGAGGAGAGACATAATGAAAGTTTAGGAAATACTAAATGGCAAAGAGAAAGTCAATAGCAATTTCTTATTTATTGACTCTCACAAGACGAGAAGTGGTGGGGGTTGCCAAATGAAACGAGTAGGTAGTGAGTTTAAAAGTAGCAAAAGGCAGTTCTTTTTCACCCATCATGTCATTAAAGTGGGGGCCAGATGTGCTGGAAGCTGACAGCTAAAGCCAGGCTCATAAAGGGGTTGGACACGTGCTTGGAGGAAAGGGGCATCGGTCGCTATTGAGCACGGGAGTGAGGGGCATGGCCTCTGAATCAGACCATCCTGGACTTTAAATGCTGGAGGCTGCAAGGGCGAGAGGAACGGGGGAAAAACCCTTCTCAGACCCAGTTTACTCTCTCTTTCAGCCTCCGCGCTCTGCCCCTTTGCGACGCAGCACCCTGGGCACAACGAACCTCTGGTCCATGGCAGCTCTTGCATTCTGTGTGAAGCTGAGAAGGACCCTAGGGAGATTTGGGGCTTGGTGCTGGCTGGGAGAGGCCAGGAGATGTGAACCTGGAAACCATCTCCCGTTGCTCCATCTCCCTGTATTCAGGGAAATGGGGCTTTGCAACCTCCTTTGTCTATAGACAGGAGTGCAGCAGTGCTATCCTCAGCTTCTTCTCACTGGTGAGGACCAGAAAGACCCCAAATTTCTGCCCAGCTGCTTGGGTCAGAAGAGCTAACAGACCCATCCTCCCCCAGCCGTACTGCTCTGCCCATTACAGCGTCACCTGCCCACCCTTTCAGCACAGACTATGGTTGCAATGTCAAAGAGCACAGGCCGAGCACCGGCCCCTGTGGGGCTGCGGAAACCCCCTCCCTGCAGCACAGACCCAGCACCCAGCTCACTTTTAATGCCATGTTAACGGTGTCGCGTTTCCACTCCTTAATTAAAACATCACGTGGGGCCAAGCCAGTGCCTGCGGGAAGCAAAGCCTGGGCCATCAATACTGTTATCTTTATTAACCAAACTTGCAATTCCGTAAGGAAACATAAGTAAGTTTGCTTGGTGGAAGCTATTTTCCATAAGCCCAGGCTGATTAGCATTAATTATATCACCAGCCACTAAGTCTTTATTAATTAAGTCTTCATTTGAGCCAGGAATTGGGTGCAGATGATGTTGGGGACTGCGACTGAGCTGTCGCACTCCCACACTTAGGGCTTTGTCTCACAAGAGGAGAGGAGCATGGGGTAGTGGTTAGAGCAGTAGACATGGCGTTGAGACCCAGATTTTGCTTTGGGGGGGTGCTGGGTACCAGTTAAAGCATGTCACTGGGATGCCGGGCTCCTGGGACCCATTTCGCGTGGCCACCAAGTCCCTCTGTGTACCAGAACAGCCCGCCAGGTAAGCCCTGCACTCTCTCCGAGTGCCGCTCCAAGCCCCTTCCCCTGCCTGATCTGCTGCTCTGCTTTCTGCTCCATGACCCTTGACCCCTACCCTTTCTACTGCTCTGCTTTCTGCCCAGTCCGCTACTCTGCCGCCTGCTCCCTGCCCTTTCTGTCCCTGTGCTGCCTGCTTCTATCCTCAATCCGTCGCATGCTGCTCGCACAGGCTGCCCCTGCTAGTTGTGGCACGCGTGCTGTGAACTGGCCACCCCTGTCCTAGCAGGACTTACCTGCTTCATGCTTCCATTGCCCTTCCATTGCCCTTCTATCCAGGGGGTGCCACAAGGCTCTCTATGGACTGCAACGAGCCTGGTGGCACTGGGCTGGAGCCCCAGCACCTTCCAGGGCATCCAAACCACAGCATCTCCTGCTGTTGTAGCCCTCCAGCCTCCGGGGGCTCCTAGGCAAAGGGACCTGCTGCTGAGCAGCTGCTTTTATAGCAGCCACCCCACCCCTGCCCAGCTGGGACTGGGCTCAGGTGTACTGGAGTCCTCCTGTTGACTCTCCGCTGGTTGGAGGGGCCTGATTCACCCTGTCCCAGAGCAGACAGCAGAGCCCCAAAACCTTTCCCTGGCTTACGGTCATTTCTAGAAGACGCGGCGATGCAAACCAGGCTGGGACCCGCCGTCACAGCCTTCGCAAAATGGAGCTTTTGGGTTTCTGGAGCCTTGGAAAGCTCCTTCAGAGGCATGCAAACATGTGCATTTGTCTCCCTTCCTGAGCTCAGCCTTATCTGCTTTTGCTGCAGAGCTGACAAAGGACCCTTTAGTGTCCCGAAGTGGGTCCAAGCCCCTGCAGAGCTCAGCAACTCCCCCCAGCCACCCCGCCTCTCATTAAAGAAAAGCACCCTCTGGCAATCAACCCCCACCGCTTTGTCTGCCCTAATGCACTCCTTTGGAGTCACCCATAATCCCCAAACATCCCTCCTTCCCACCGCTCCCCTCTCAGCTGCCCGTGGCTGCACGGCACATTCCCTTTGTCCCGGCAGAGGGGCCTTGAACATGCACCCCCGTGCCCCCCGCTGCCTAGTTCCCCCCGATACGGGTGAGGGAAGCACTGTTACAAGGGCAGTCAGCTCTTCTCCTTACACGACAGCAGCCTCAGCTGCTAGGATCACAAAGCAAGCCCAGCGGGGCTCAGCGGCACAGGGGGAAAGCCGCCCCCCCCAGCTAAGGTGATCTCCTTAGAAAGCAGTGGGCTGAACACCCCTGATGCCCCATGGATCCACACAGGCAATGCATCACTTTGCTTTCAGCACGTGCTGCCAATGTGAGTACTTGTTCCCTGCCAGGGGATCCAGTTGTGTGCCCCTGCAATGCTGCTGGGCAGCCGTGCCGCCCTGCACAAAGCCAGGGAGGGAGAACCCCAGTGAGTTCAACAAGCCAGTGCCCAGCTCTGCCTCCTCTTCCTCCTGCTTGCTGAAGCCCTTACAAGAAAGGACACAGTGGCTGGCTCCAGAGACTTGGCCCCAGCGGGTTGTGGGGGTCTCCCTGCACCTGGAATCCAAGTCCAAGATGGAAATACCCAGCATTGCAGGCTCAAATCCTGCTCCTTCCAAGATAGGGTTGAACCACAGCCAGCCCAGTGGGGCCCAGGCCTGTCACCTTTGCCTCCTGGTGAAGTCTCAGTGGACACTTGGTCTGAGCTCTGCCTTTGCTGCTGCACTGAGAAAATTGCCTGGCACTCGGCTTGCATCTAAAAAACAGCGGGAACCTCAGCAGAGCCCAGTGCGACTCTCCCACCCCCGACCCTGCAGTGCTGATGGGCTCATTTCCAGAACCGGTGGCATTGTGCGCACGGTATTTCTTCATCCACTGAATTATGCTTCCCTCCCCCCGCATCTGGCCATCCTCTAGCGACCCTGCTCTCCATTAAGCAGTTCATTTCTTATGCAAATCTGCCTCTTCTCCAGTCCCTCGAGGAACGGGGCGGGAGCGTGGCCAGAGTCCAGCCAGCTGGAAGTGTGCTCAAATGCAAGCCGAGGCCGGTTTTCATCTGCATCTCCAGCATGCAGGATGGAGAGGAGCCCTGCTGGGAAGATGGGTCGATTCAGAGAACCGCTGATGGATGGTCAGAGATTCTGTACATCTGAGCAGCTTTGCCCAACGCTCCCTTGGTGGCACCCATCCGCCTGTCTCCGTTCCACTGGTTTTATGCCAGAGATGCAATCCTGGGTGGGGGAAAAAGGATACCTTCTCACCCTGAAGACTTTACAATCTAAAAAACTCATGCAAAGAGGACAAACTTCACTGTGAGAAACAGCAGAAAGGCTCCCCTGCAGCACAGAAAGACCATGTTCTGGTTTCAGTCAAACTGGTATAAACCTGAGCTAAATCTGTGGACTTCAGTGGAATCACTGTGGCTGCGAGCAGGAGTGTAAACCAAACATATTTCCCTTTCCTTCTCTTATTGCTCCATCCATCTGTGTAGGAGCCTGCCTCCCGATGTATTTATACTGGTTTAATCAGCTCTTACGCGGGGATATAGAGCAGATGTATGATGTACAGCGTCGGAGGAAGTGAGTTTGGACTCATGATACGCAGCTCGTGACTTAGTCAGTCTGGAAGGTGCATCTCTATCCATCCTGCTACATGACATACAGCAGTGCACTGGTACAACTTGCTAGACGCCAGTGCAGAAGGACCCCAGGCAAGATCAGAGGTAAAACTCCACCCCTGTAAAATACCATGTGTCATGGCTAACCACGTGCTCAACAGCCAGGTTATCACCTGCTCTCTAGCCCCTTGGTGGTGAGACACTGGAATACCACCTATTGCACGCGCCCGTTCTGGGATAGGTGCTGTACATCTGTTCACTTTAGATACCAGTCTACTTAGGATCCTATCCTGGGATAGAAAACTGGTATCAGTTACACCAGTTGGGTGTCTAGGGCCTATCTATACTGCTAAGTGGGTGCATCCATACATGCCAATTTAAGGCATGTTAGCCATTTTTAAGGCACATTAAGGGTGCGGGTCTACACATGTGTGCCTTTAATGTGCTCTAAAAATGGCCATTTTAGGCTATTCATGCCTAAATTTGATACCTGCAAAAGCAAAATTTATGCATGAATAGTTAAAGCACTGTAGTGCATGTGTAGATGCGCTAAGGCACATTAACACTGTGTATGTCGACTAACTTGGGGCTAACTTGAGTCCCAAGTTGGTCCACACACCGTGTTAACGAGCCTTAGCATGTGCACGCGTAGATCGCCTAAATGCGCATTAGGCAAATGCACATTAAGTTTAGGCGTGCATAAAAGCATGTATAGACATGCCCACTCCCAGTACACCATAGTGTCCAGGAGCTACGTAAGACTTTTCATCTCACATAATAACTTAAGGTAGCAGTGGCAGCTCCGTTAAGAACCAAACTAGATCTTGATCCCCTTTTTGACACCCCTTTGCTCATCCTTGTTCCAGCCAGTAGAGCTCAGATCCCAGAGGATGGGCTGTTCACGATGGTAACTGCAGTCTGGGGAGAGAGAAAAATCCCATCAAATTCCACCCATTAAATTCCTCCGCAGAGGATGCAGCGAATGAGGACTAAACGTCGTGTCGTCTACAAGCGCCCATCGATACCGTCTGGAGAGGCATCTCGGGGTGCATCTACAAATGCTTCTTTGGGTGTTTGCCCTGTTGCTAACAGTAAGATCCAGCCGGCTGTTGAGAAAACATGAGGTGGGGGTGAAACAAAAGCCCCGTCGTTGGCGCCCAGGCGGGAGAGGTGGGGAAGAAGCTGGCGTTTTTGCGGGTCATTCATCACTAGTCAAAATACACAAGACAATTGAAATGGAGCTGGGTTTCACTGCACAAGGGGGAAAAAATCTCTACTGCAAACAACCACAGGAAAAAAATGCCTTACAAGGCCGACACGGCCTGGCAGATTGATGGCGTTTTAATCCCAAAGCCGCGGCAATGAATCTTCTCGTTGGAAGCGCCGTAGACAGAGTGTCATTCACACAGTCCCGCGGCGTGAGGAAAAGACAGCTGCTAAGCTGCTCAGGAAGCAGCAGTGACTCCCCAGACAAGGAGGCAGGGGAGACGAGGGCTTGGAGAGTGAATATGGGTATGGAGAGAGGCCTGGAGCTCGGGGGAGAGACCGTTGTGCTCAAGTTGTTTGTGGTGGAGATTAGCTCCAAATCCAGCAACGCGTCTGTCTGGCTGCAGGCGCCTGGCACCCTGGCTTCACGCGAGCTGCCACCCAGAGCCACGTTGGCAGCCACGGGGCTGGTAGGCCTCCACTGCGAGGTCTCCAGAGGTCTTCACCAGATCCTGGCTGCATCCCGGGGTGCATGGGGGGGGAACCTCCCTCTGCCGAATGGCCCCTTGGGCTTGTCTCAGCCTGGCCCCGAGAACTTGTGCTGAAGCCACGGACGTGGGACGTGTGTCCTTACACGTGGCACCAATGCCAAATGCAGGGAGAAGCAAAGCAGGAGCCCACGAAGGGGCTGAGAGCTGAATCCATGTTAGCTGAACATGCCTGCTCATGTGCGCACACATTCCCCACCACAAATGCCATGGGACTGTCCAATCCACGCTGTGCTCCTGGTGCTGCATGGGCAGATGCTCCCACCAACACTAGTGATGTGGACGTGACCTAAGGCAGGTGCTTCCACTGCAAGGGTTTTCCAAATTCATTAGGGTGGTGGCTCTTAGCCTTAGCATTGGCTAATGGCCCACCTGGAATCCCACCTCCTCCCTGGCTGTCACCAGAAATGCACCACGCGCTGCATTTGTAGTGTGGTCACAGATGCTGGCGGCATCATTCAACAGCGAAGGCCGTGGGCAGCACCTAATGATCTCCAGGAGTGTACAGAGTTATGGGCAATGTGCCATATTCTCCTGGGCTGCCAGAGGGGAATGAGACACTAGCCAGAGTCGCTGTGCCCAGCTCCCAGCACCACTACCCTGCAATAACGCTTCGGCTGCCTCCAGAGACCACTTTGATGCCAAGGCACTGCCTTATTATAGCTCGGCAGCAAGCGGTCCATTGCAATAGCCTTCTTGGGTCCCAGCAGGAACCACCCCCCTGAGCCTGGGGGACAATCCAGGTGGTCCTGTTAAATGAACCTGCCAATGTCACAAGTGCCTTTGGCTTGTAACGAAGTCTGGGAGGGAGAGACGTCATGCTTCATTTATTTCTCTAAATATTCCCTTTGCAGACAGCTTCTGTGCTACCATGATGGGAGTGTCTGGGAGGTGCTAGGAGTCGTACATAACTCTTGATAGAGAAAGTC